TTTTGTGTGCAGTAACATTTATGTGTGACCTGTGTATCCTCCTGCAGCACCAGTCCCCCCAGGCTTCTCTTCAACCCGCAAACAAACAGTTACAAAGGAAGAGACTGCGTATCCCTTTGCCCCAAACCTCCCCAAAACAGCCAAAGGTGGTTCTTACAAAAACAGACTCCACCACAGATCAGGTGAGTTTAACAATAATAATAATAATAATAATAATAATAATGACAACTTTATTTGTAAATCATTTTACTTTAATATAGTTCCAAAATGTTTTAACAAATCACAAAAATGAACACAAAAGAACAAAAAAACAAACATACATGTCAATTGATTGCCAGCTTTAAAATGTGCATCTTAGCTGACGTTTGATATATCATATATATATATATATATATATATATATATATATATATATATATATATATATATATATATATATATAATATCTATCATACGATGATAGAAGCAGTGGTTTGAGCCATACTACAGACAGGCAGTTTGAATAACGTTCCTTCTGACACACTCTCCCCCGCGCTCCCTTTAATACCACTCCCCATCTGAAAGCATAAACCCATGTATTTTTCTGTTTCATTACTTAATGAAAATTCCATCTAAGACATGTTACTGGCTAAGATAGGCCTGTATATTAGATTGTAATCAGCCCCTCCAGTATTTCGCAGGCTATTTTGTGATAGTTAAAATTACTGTTTTAACAGCAGGTTTTTTTAAAAAAATGTCAATGTATGTTGCAATGTTTTGAAATTTGCAAAAATAGGCAACTTGTTCCAGTGGGAATCAAATGTCACTGTTTTTGGAGGGTAAATGTGAGACGTTCATGTGGCACACGTCTGCATGGTACGTATCTTCACAACTAGACAAGGAAGTGTGTAAGTTTGGTTACATATGATTGAACAGGAAACTACAGTGATTGATTTGCAAGGCCATGCAGGATTGACTGAATTTACTTTAATTGTTGGGATCGCAACTTCCTGGAGAGACTGTGCAATGTGCATGGACTGATGGAATTGTATAGGGATGCACAATACAGATAAATGATCTTCGCTAATGGGATATTAATATTATTATAAATGATCAGGATAATTAAATTACAGCGGATAAATTATCAGTTGACATTCAACTGTAGTCCAAACCCTCTTTATTTACTGTCATAAATGACAAAGTCCTTACATTTGACCACATCGATCATAACCAAGGATAGGGGAAGCAACTAATACAAAAGGATCCGAGTTGAATTCTAGTGAAAGAAAGCGCAGCACAATAGCATCAACAGCAAACCCATTTATTTTCCCTACTTAAATCCTATAAAACATAGTTTCACTCCAAATCTTTTCCCCAGTCACCCCCCCAACCCCACCCCTACCCCCGCAGTGGCACCATGCAATGCAGTTTGAGATATGCCAGTGTGGATCATGTACCATTACTATGAATCCCAACAAATGAACATGAGCCTTATGTAACACTACTTTGTTTGTCGTTCAGGAGCTGCTAAATCCCAAGAAGAAACACACCACCCCTAAAGTAACACAGAGTGAAAACAGAAAGCATGTTACGCACAAGGGAAGGGACGTACCCTCATCCAAGACTGCAGCGGAAGCCACAGCCTCGGAGCCAGCTTGGTTTCAGCCCCAGGCGGAGCAGGGGAAGGTGGCCGACGACGGCGGTGAGATACAGGACCTGGGCGATGAAGAGAGCGCCAATCAAAATGTAGACGGCAATCTAAAAGCTGACTGTGGGGAACCTGACAGCATTGTAGAGCAAAGTAGTGGCCAGAGCTGGACCAGGAGAGAGTCCCAGGGTGCAGCTTCCACTTCACTGCAGCACGACTTTGAGGAGCTGGCGCAGGAGGAGATGATCGCTCGAATGAAGGCCAAACTCAGACAGAGTGAAGCAGCTCTCAGCAACCTGCACTCGTCATAGTTACGGCTCAGTCACAGTGGACGGCAGTGACGAGGCTTCCGTTCCCCATGAAATAAACTCCCTTTTAAAATTAGGGTCACATCCTCAAACTGCTGAGGGAACTCAGTGCAGTCAGTGCAGAAATGACAGACTGAGACTAATGGAGACTAAGACGCTAGGGCCACCAACAGCACACTTTACACAAGGCCTCGCGGCTGTTGAGGCTCTAAGAATAGCAAAATAGAAAAATAGTTGCACCCTGACTGCTGCAGAACAAAGGATATCGTCATCTGGCTTTATTCCACACACGTCACACTTGACAGAACCTGGCGTCGGAGACTCGGCTGCATTAGTAGCGTGCTATTAGCAGCTAATGTAACCTGCAGCAGGCCAGAGGTCTCATCAGATTGTTTTTATTTTCAAATGCCGGCTCAAATTTATCAAACTTCACACAGCTCCCTCGTGAGTCACTAAAGGCTTTGACTGTGTGTGATCTTTTCCTTTATAAGCTGGGCACATCAAATGATTATTTTCGGGGCTTTACTATTATCTGACTATGTTGAGAAATTGTCGACCTATTGGGAACGTTTTAGTTTTAGAAGGATTAGTGTAACATTACTCTGCTTTGTTGTGGGACGCCATTGACTTTTACAAATGATATTTCATAGGCTATATTTCTGTTACTGCAGATATCTCTGTCAGCAATAAAGAAAAGAGTGAGTGGACAGCGTTGTGAGTTTGTTCTCATTTAAAGGAGCAGTTCACATTATGTCACTGATCATCTGCATCCACCTGCTGCTCACATGTAGGCCTGCAACTAACATTTATTTTAATTATTGATTTATCTGTCATCAATTAATAAATAATTTGTTTGGTCCAGAAAATGTCTTGTTTTCTCCACAACCCATTTCTTAAAAAATGACTCAATTAATTCAATAGTTGACAGCATTGATGATTGATGACAACACACATCAACCAAGTAATTGTTGCAGCTCTACACACACATTGTGTGAAAATGTGTTATTGTGTCCTTTCTACCCTAAATTCAGACTTAAAACGATTAAAATCCAGTTTTGTTTGTTAAAATCAAAGTAATGGAATATTTCCAGCTGCTGAATGTTTCCGTCTTCCAAGTTAGTTTCCTCCACAGTTACAAAAATGAATCCAAGGATGTGATTGGATTGTTGGATTTCAAATCAGTAGGTGATAACAAAAGTAATGTTGTTACTCATTTTTTTGTTGGTGGGGGTTAGGAAAGTAATTTTTTTTTTATTATTACTAACAATGAGTTACTGCCCAACACTGCAAACACTGCATTTGGTAGCTGATCTGGAGCATGCAACAGCATCACACTTCTTCTGCAGGATCTATTTCAATGAGCCTGAATGAGGGAAGGAAAACTGATTACAAAGTAAATACACTGTTGCTCCACAAATTTATCCAGAGGCCTGAAACCAAGTTTGTAATTTTCACCAATGAGTTAGCACAATTCTAGAAGCATTTTTGCTTTGACTTCATATACAATCACATGACCACTAAAACTCAATATTTTCCAAATCAACACCAGTGTGCTACTTGCTCATTAGCAAACAAATAAGCATAATAAACATTCTACAATATGTGACTTTGTTCCAAGTCCCTCCACTCTTTTTAGTTTGTATCTGTAACCTTGGAACAAGAATCACAGAGGCACAATAATGACCTCCTCACACATTCACCCACAGCTGATAGATATTTAACTTCCTGATGCACCACATTATCTTTGATAGTTTTAGTCACTACAGAGATTACAGGCATTTTTTTGAAGAACTGAAGATTTAAATGAAGAAAACACAACTAAATACAGAAAGCACACAACAGCAATGAATTTAAAAAATGGTGTAGAGGGGGAACTAAAAAGTGATGCACACAACCGCACACACAATGTGTAGTTATCTTTTGTTGCTCATAAAGTTACTGAAGGTGATGGTGTAGGACAATTAAGCAATGGCAGTAAAAAAAAAAACAATTGTATAAATCATTTGCTCATTTCCATTGAAGCTACAGTAGGTAACTTTTATAAGAATAACTTTTTTTTAAATTTTTACCCCCTACGTCCCTGTCAAGGCTGCTCTACTTCTCCTGCTGCCAAATCAGCAGCTTTGAATACCTGCAGCAGAACAGCTGTAAACACAACGACAAGTTGCCCAGCTAACATCCAGCACTTACCCTGGACCAATAACACAACATCTGAAAGCATCAGCAGCTGACAGCATCTGCTGTCACACAAGAAATGACCATACAGTACAAACTGACTCCTTGAATTCCCACTACTATATCATACTATACTATACTATACTATACTATACTATATAAAATGCAAACAGCAGTTTCTATACATTTTTATATTATCTTTGTTGTTTGCAGCCAAACAACAAATAAAGCCCTAAACTTAACAACATTTGCATATTCATAGATTCTGGAATTTTCACTGGGATAGAAGGAGGAGATTGATTTTTAAGGATTTTAATGTGGAAATCAGGCACACATTATTGTTCCAAGCAGACCATTTGAATATATGTCTTAATTATGTCTGGAGGGGAGCTTTAAGTATGTGGTTGAGTTTTCTGTTTTTGGTCGTGTTTCCACTGTACACTATTCACAGCGTTGTACAGTGTTCAGTGGGTCTTCACCTTAGAGGTGTTTCTGTTATTTTGTCCACCCCATTTCTGTCAATCTTTTCTTCTTAAATAATCTTTAGTAATAATTTTTAATCTCAAATATTAAAATCCACACTGACACCACCAACAAAAACTGTCATAAAGGGAGCTTTAGTTACCGGACTTTAGGTGTTTTTGAATGGACCATATAAACTGGCGTAAAGTTGCTTCCAGCCTTCAAATATGGATATCATGTTTGTGACTGTGATAAATATCCTGTTACACACATGGTAGGTACAAGTTTGTCCCAGTGACAGTATGTTAAATCGCCTGATATGAGTTCCGGATGAGATTTGAGTGGGAAGCAGTGCGAGGGGTGGAGGGAGGAAACCTCCCCTCCTGCCGTCCAGCTATAAGACTGCAGATCTCCTGAAGTTGGTCCACACAGACAGGATGCACTCCTCATGCTGCCCCTCTGCCAGAGCACAGACACTGAAGGTAAGACCTGTTGTCACTCCGTTGAGTTGTGCAGGGAAATACTTCTCATCGTAGAATTGAAATGATTTGTTCATTGTCAACATAGAACCAGTTGGTTTCTGCTCTTCTCTGTGTCCTCTCTAGTAATGTTATGTTTTATTGGTTGAATCGTTTTCTGTTAATCCCTAGAAAGGAAGTGATTGTAAGGTTCTCCGTTTCATTTGGTCATTTGGTTCTAATAATAGGGAATGTGGAGAAAAAACTGAAGTGGTATACTTATTTTAAGTACTTTTAATGCACAGCAGGTAAACTTAATGTGCACAAATGAGAAATTTGTCTACAGAGAAACATACAATTCAACATACTGTATATGGAGACATAAGATCCTAATGAAAAATAGTAATGAATGGATACTAAGATTCAAAGAGTGTGATTCCTTCTTTCAAAAAAATGCTTGTAACCACAGAGAACTGCCTCAGAACTTTGTTTTATATATAATCAGCCCCAAATAAGAGTTCTGTCCAGGAAACTTTCTAGGAAATTATTAAGAAATTATGGAGCCATAAAACGAACATTTGGGATTTTAACTGTTTCTCAGACAAAACAAGCAGTTTAAGGACATGACTTTAGCTTTGGGAACTGCTGATGGGCAATTTATAACCCGGTGTGAGCTGAGTTCAAAGTCCTCATGGGTTACTTGATATAATGATGGGACAGTGGGAGATTTATAAGACTAATATGTTGTAAATGCTGTATTAATAGATTATGTAGAAAATGAATTAGGGCAGCAAATTTAAAGTTTAAAATTTCTATATTGACCAAAGAAAAAACATTGAATGTCAAGGTCTTGTTTTTCTTTCAAGCATATCTCACTGTCCTTCTCAGTGGACGAACTCTTGATGAGTTGCTCGCTTGTCATATTTCACATCAACAAAATTTTTATTGCATTGGCTGATCCAAAAAGCTAGTTAGCTAGAGCTAGTTGCAGCACTATCTACATTTTATGTACATATACTGCACATTTACTGTACTGTATATCTTCTCTGACACAATATAATGAAATAAGAAATCAAAGAATACATATTTATAGTGCACACATTCTGAAACTTCAAAATCAAAAAAGATAGCATTGATCATCATTCCAGTTCTAAAGAGCAGGCCTAAAGTCAGGAAATACCCAAGGTCAAAGTCCTCCAGTGCAACCTCACACCTCAAATGAAAAATTTGACTCTAGTGCTCCTATTGGTATTGCAAGAATTCACCGGACCTGAACGAAAACAACCAATCAGAGCCAAGAAAGATGGAAAGGTGCTTTGAGTTGGTGGTTGAAGATCAATGATTGTTAAGTCTCATTCCCAGGATCGATATTTGATGATCTGGGAATGAGACTGAACAATCAACTATCTTCCTCTGCTCTGTTGTTTTCATTCAGGCCCAGTGGATTCTTGCAAATGCCGTTAAGAGACCTAGAACGAGCCAGAGGAAGCGTTTTTTCACAGATTATCTGTCTAATGTACTACTGTCAGGATATAGTGAAATTTCATCAAATTTAACAAAGTAATTTTTCATAAAAGTTACCTACTGCAGCTTAAATATGACAGAGAATTTTATTTTAATGCATTTAATGTGTATATGACCTAAGTGTAGCAAGGTCCCTGGCTGGCATGCCTGCTTACTGAACAAAAGCCTTCTAATATAACTTTGGCCAGTGTACAGTAAGTTGACATATAATATTGACTGTAGGAGTTTTGAGTTACAGGCTCAATCAAATTGTCTCTATCTTCATCTGCGGGTGAAGAAATTGCTAGAGTAAAGTCATTCTGAGTTGTCCCCTTAAACCCCACCAGGGCCCTCTGAGTACATTAATTAAATTGTGTTTTGCTTGGACAGAAAGCCCTTCTGTATGTTACAGGCTTTGTGTTAAAGTTGTGTATTAAGAGTTTTTCACCTCCTCCTTAGGTGTTATGTGTTCGGATGTGCATGTTCTACACGGTCCTGTGTCTGACAGGCTGGCCGCTCTCCTCAGAAGCAGCCAGACTCCGCTGTGGATCCGATCTCCTCAGTGACCTCATATTTGTGTGTGGGGATCGTGGAATCTATTTAGGTAAGTCTATATTCATGTTATGTGCTCTTCACTTTTGCATAAATGTCACCTAAGAAGCTTCATATGAGGTATAGAATTTTCTTGTATACAAACGGAAGCTGTGGCCTATGGAAAGTTCAGGAAATCATTGGGATTCATCCTCTGGAAAATGGAAAGCAAGTGAATGCAAATACATTCTTTCAATATAAACAGATAATGTGTTCATAATATGGAGCCAAGATGATGTCTTTAAAGTTTGGCATTAAAAGTAAAATTTGGCATTGAAAACAAAACCTAAACTGAAAAGCGCCGGGATTGAAACACAAAAAGTTTTATTGACACAAAAGTTCCACAGAAAAATAAAACACAGACATTAAAAAATAGCTTCTTTTTATATTTATTGCATTTTGATGTGTTTCATGTCTGTCTTTTTTCAGTAACAGGATTTTTTTTATTCTGACTCCACCGTGGTTTCCTAACCCTATGTAATATGCATACTAAGTAGAGAATGTCTCTTCCTTTATCAGCCGTTTGAAGATTGTCATTGAAAAAACATTGAAATGCAGTGATATAATAAGTTTTATAGTTAATTCAATTAAAATGTTTTGTTCCAATAAGTGTTTCAATGCCACATCTTATTTTCAAGGCCAAAATTTAAGGTTTAAAGCTTCATATTATGAACACACTTGGATCCAGTATTGAACCTTGAGGCTTGCACAATGACACGCTTAAGTTAGGGGCCATCTTAAAAGTGCATGCAAAATGGCCAAGAAAGCCTCTCCTATTTTAGTTGATAGATTTTGAATTATTTGTGATACACACTTCGAACAAACTTCATTTTATCTGGGCCTCGTCCCTCTGCATGTGCAACCTCCAAAAAATGTTTTAAAATAGGCTAGGGCCTTTCTGTGTGGAGCTTGCATGTTCTCCCTGTGCCTGCGTTGGGTTTCTCTGAGTGCTCCTGTGGGTTAGGTAAGTTGCCTGTATATGTGAATGTGAGCATGAATGATTATTGGTCTCTAGTGTCAGCCCTATCATTGATTGATGACCTGTCTAGGGTGCACCCCGCCTCTCGCCCACTGTCAGCTGGGATCAGCTCTATCCACCTGCGACCCTCTAAAGGATAAGCTGGTATAGTTTATGGATTGGATAGATCTTGTTATGACAGAAAAGCAGATTGATTATATTTTTTCTGATGCAGAGTTTATTACATAAAAAAAGCTGATAGGACCAAATGCTATCAAGGTTATTCTACCCTGTGTGTTAACACTAGCAGGGATGCATAACACAGATATGGTCATGGTCATCATGTCCACATTAAAATAGTGCAGTAACTTTGAGCAAGTTATCAGCTCCACAACAATAAAACACGTCCTATTCATTTATTTACATGATGACTAGCCACAACACTACTCTTCTGTAGTGTACATCTCAGCAGCGAATGGGACAGACTCAACTTTTAATGTAATATAATATCTTGTGATTGATCTTTTTCGAGCAACATGTAATTCCACTGTTTTATAAAATAGTGGTTCATTAGTGACTTATACATGAGCTGACTGGCACAGCATGTGTTAACTTAATGCCACAAGGCAGCATTTAATTTAAAAAGGTTATTAGCGTTAGACACTGCACACAGAGAATTACCCACAGGCCCTTTCACTTGGTTACCTTTCCCCTGCTCTGGCCAAGGCCACCTTCTCCATCTGCTATCAGAGTGATGGCAATCCACCAAAATGGCAGTGTACTCGCTCACCGGGACACTGTGTCTCAGTGTGTGATAGCTTTATTGTTAAAACACTTGTTATCTGAGACCAGCACAGCTTTCACACTAAAAAACAAAGAAAGGTGCAGAGGGGGAGAAACAGCAGAGAGCCAGAATAACAGAAACCATTCAGAAGGCACAGTGACTTTAATTTCACTGAGCAAAATACAACCTTAAAGCTGCAGTAGGTAACTTTTATAAAAATACATTTGTGATATTTGCTGAAACTTTCACTATATCTAGTTTCTAAACAGTAGTGCATTAGATAGGCTCCTCTGGCTCCTCCTAGTGCTCCTAATAGCGTTTGCAAGAATGCACCATGCCCAAACAAAAACAGCCAATCAGAGCCTAGAAAGATAGTTGATTCTTGAGTGTCATTCCCAGATCGTCAACTATCAATGCTGGGAATGAGACTCAACAAACAACTATCTTCAAGCCACCACCCCAAAGCATGAACATATTCAAACAGGATTTCACATATGGCATCTAACAATGGCAATGTTTGTCTGCCTGACACTTGCAGCCAGAGGGAGATATCTTGTCAACTACCAGCCAGTTTGACATGATTGTCTTTTTTATATTCCCAAAAGAGTTTGAACTGTCCTTTCCTGCCACCGTCAGGAATACATCTTCCCCTAGACCATGACAATGTAGTATCTTGTTGTAAATGCGCACATGTGCACATTCATGCTCCCCAGAGGAGCACACTGAATGTACCCTTTTGATGTTTCTGACTCCTCTAGCACCACTTTCAGGATAAACTTCACTCTTCCAGTGTATGCTAAATATAAAGAGATTTTATTTATCTGTTGCTAGTCATGCAAGTTTTGACTTCAGTGACCTCCTGAGGACATAAGACATAAAGTAAGGAAGGTATTGAGGCTCAAAAGAAAGACAAGAATCTCATGTTTGACATTACTCTCTCTGCAGGTAAAGGTACATGGTCCGGTTACGGTGCTCGGCCCAGAGGGAAGGGGATAGTGGACCAGTGCTGTCGGCCATCAGGCTGTGAGCTTCAGCACCTGGAGATGTATTGCGCTAAACCAAAGAGCCAGGAGCACACCACAGCTTACCCAGCCACCACCACAGCATCTCATATCACCACACAGCTAGCCACGGTAAGCTCAGGCCGTCAAATGCATCTCATGGTCCTCAACAGGGACTGAACTTGGCTCAATTGAAAAATAAAACACTTTGTATAGGGGCAATGAAAGATTGACTTCAGCCTAATGGACTTCTGATGGAAGAAAACCTATTGATGTTGAACCCTGCAGTTTCTAGTACTAGTACTCTACAAGCAGGCCATTCACATACAGTGTCAAAAACCATGCTTGAACCAAGTCTGGAGTTATATTGGTTAAATTACTTGTTTTTACACACACACACACACACACACACACACCCTCCCAAGGACTACCACTGCGATAAATTACAACCACCTGTTATCACATGACCAGAGCTTGATTCCACTAAAATAATTACTACTATACTAAGAGTAGATATGAATTCAGTCTCTCATCAGAGGAATTGGCACACAGTACGACACACAAATATATGAGGTGGAAACTATTCAAAATGTGAGAATAGTTACTTCAATACCTGAAGCAAAACCAAAAGTACACCACAATAAAGTTGATATCCATGATAAATCCTAGCTGATCAGTGCAGCCCCCGCACAGGGCCAAGGTTACCTGCTTCAGCCAAGCTACATGTCCCTGAATCAACTCCTTATTGTTATCTTTGTCTTGCAGGCACAGCAGTTCCAAGCAGTACTTCATAAGAGACTTCTGGAGCACCTGGGGCCTCCCGACAGTCCAAAGAGGGAGGCTTATAGAAAGAAAACACAATCTTCACGTCGACAGAAAAGCGAAGTTTCATCATCACGCCGGAAGACGAACAAACAGAACGCAACTAGCAGACCCCTATCAGCCTCTAGGAGTCCCCTTCAAAGAGTGATGAGCTTTGAATCATGACCTTTCACCTCATGAAAAGCTGAATATTTATAGTTACTGGATTGGACCCAGCGGGTTTGAAACTCTAATGCTGCAAAGAAATTCTCTGCTAAGTAGGGATCACAGTAGTCAGACATCACAAACAGATTTGGAGACAAGCAAAGATTTGCCACGTGCCCCCAATTGGCAGCCATATTGGAGGTTGTCAGCTCCTGGAGTCTGGGCTAGCCACTGTCACACTAGCCTTTGGAACTCAGTGGAATCTCTGACTTAGCCTTTCTTCCATCTGTATTTCTGGAACAAAGTGTCATTACATGTGTAATTAATATAATTATATTGCGTGTTGTTCTCCCTTATCCATTCGTCCATACAAACTCTTTTCTACTGTCATCTTTCGAGTGTTTTTATCTTTAAATGTGCGCACTACTGTGACAGCCATGTCTAGACAAGAAAAGTTGATAAGTCCATTCTGACCATGATAGTGTTGGGCTTGTGGGAAATGGTGTTTGTAAAGGCTGGTAAATGTTAAACAAACAACTACATTACATTGTTTACCATCGTTGTCTACACTGTAAAACATATCTGTAGATTTTACGGTGGAAAAACTGTCAAACCACCACAGTAAAAGACCGTAAACTCCAACTCTAACTTTCGTTAAGAAACACAGTTTCTGCAACAGTAAAACACTGTCATGTCATGGTAAAACCTTTATTTATATTCTATTTAAAGGAATTTATATGGAATTAAATAGTTTATATTACAGATTGTAAAGTGCACAAAAACCATATCATGTTTTTTTATACAGAATTTATATGGTATTTTTATATATTACCATTCTTTTCATGGTAAAAACTTGAATTCATACAGTAAAATATGGAAAGAAAAACAACTTTATCCGTAAAATCAACAGTACTAATATCCTTTTATGTAATAGTAGAAATGTTCTAAAGTTCTGACAACCACAGCTCCCAAGTTTTTACCATGACATTTTTTACAGTGTAGACAAATGGAGTGTACCACATGACGTATGATTTTTAGCAATTTGCCTTATTATAAATGCAACCGTGTGTGTGAGGTTTTCCTACTTCTGGAACTGAATGTGGTACTGCCATTGTGGGTAGCAGATCTTCTCGGCCTGGCAGCCTGGCACAGTGGGTTCGAACACACAATCAAAGATGAAAAGGAAACAAGATGGCTCACTCATATGTGTTATGATGCATTATTTATTTATATTTTTTGAATGTAAAAATTCCTTACTTAGTATTATCATGTGATACTGTGTTACATCACCTGTAATTGCCGGCCCCAAAGCAGATCCAGCAGGCTGAGCACATCTGGTACCTACCCCTGTTCCACTGCAGCAACCTATTAACCAGAGGCTTCTGATAATGTGAACACTAAGACCCTAGTGAGGTTTTGGTACTAGGTTGTGTTTCCATTGTATTTAATTAAAGCAGTAATAATTATTTATTTTATTGTTCATATTATCACCTTGTAAGGTTGTTGTGATGAATATGTTAGCAAAGAGTGACTTATATATATATTTAGCAGTTATGTAGCAACATTAGCATTCATCTGAAGTGGTGTTTGCGTCCACTTGACAAATATAGCTCCGATATTCTTTTAAAATCTCTGTTTTAGCTCTGTTTTTGGTCTCATACCAATTCCTGAGAAAAAATATCTGACTCTTTAGCTGCTAAATGTTCCACTATGTTAACCAGCTAATTGTCTGTTGTTTGGTCCTGGGCAGGTAGTATATAATGGGTTTTTACATGTCATTATGTTACGTTCCAGCAGTGGAAAAGAGCTTTATGGATCAGATTAGTTGATAACATGTCTACTTATATGCTTTATGTCTATGCTAATTTTGACAGAGAGCTAGTCATGACATCACTGAGATACTAACTTGTTAGCCACTGTAGTTAATGATATCACACTAAAAGGATCATATCTATATGTGACACACCTGCAAAGTTTGTGTAGTTTGGAATATAATACACTGCATCTGTTCACATGCATTTTTGACTTTTTATTGCACTTTTAACTGAATGATTGTACATAGACTTACTGTGTGTTTAAAGACATTAGCATGGCAGAATGTAGAAGAAGTTTGTTTGAATGAGTCTTATTTAACAAAAAGTTCTATCTACTTTAGTTATACTTATTTTTATTTTTCAACTATGGTGTTAATTACTTCACATTTTGTGTATGACATGTTTGATGTAATGATTTAAATGCATTCATTATTTATTTCACCATGGCAACATATGGCTATAATAAATAGCAAAAACTTTACAATTGTTTGTGATGTTCATGTGATTTGAAGCAACTGCAGCACGCCATTCTTACAGCACGTTGCTCACAGAGAGGGTTTGAAAGATTTCTAACAATATAACATTTAACACAACCTCGACCTTTTATTTTGACGATCCGCTTCAGTGATTCATTTCATGAACTAATTTTTTTGACATAACTGCAGTCATCTACTCTTTCCAAGAGTTCTGAAGGCCATCTCAGCCCTCTGTGTAGAGCAGCCTGCTGAAACAAATAGCTCTTGTGTGCATAATAAGCCTTATTCTGTGATCAGTAAGTGAATGAAAGAATAGTCTTAGTTTTCTTTGAGAGAAAAGGAGAAAGTAGTTTATTTATTTGAGACTAGGCGGAGTATTGGACATCTTCACTTTTACAGTTTGATGAGTTGGAGCCAAAGACAAACAGCCTATCAATGAAAAATAATAACATTTTGTTAACTTGTTCAGATTTTGTTATACGTGTCCACAATGGCTAAGTAGGGTACGTAGTTACATTGTTTCCTTTTTGTCTGTTTCTACGATCGGGAGCCTACGCAGGGTGTTTTATTCTGAAAATTGACCGTATTCTTAATGCCATTTCTGTTTCAGACTTCCTGCCAGTGAAGCCAATGCAGAAGTGTCTTAAACATGTATTCTTTCTAATGGCCAGCAGGGTGCAGCTCCACTGGCTGCAAAAAGCAAGATAGTATGGAGTCTGATGTGCCAACTTCTGACTTGATTCATTAGTTCAGTAAACAGTTTCCTAATGAGTTTATGGTCTCAATCTCTAGTATCTTCTTCCATACAGCATGACAGCATAAAAAAGTGCCATGTATCAAAATCTCAGATTGAAAGTTCATGGATTTAGAGGAGTAATGCTCAATCGGTACTAATTTTGCACTTCATTCTGGGCAAAAACATGTACAGAATTTTTTTCCTGAGGTACTTGATGTCTTATGTGAGCAGTTAACTCATATTCCCAGGTGGAATGTAATGGCACTGACAACCAGCTGGCTTCAGCTTGCCCATAGCTCAGTTGGTGCAGAGCAGATTTAGGACAGGATATTGGTCGGATTTTAGGAGGCAGAGCTTGGACTTCAGGGCAGTGGTGGCACAGCTGATTCTTTAGGCTGCACCATAAAAGGCCACAGATAATGAGTGCTTCCAAATACCTGCTATTTTTTATTTTATTTTATTTATTTGTTTTAGACTTGAGGCTGCCATAAAATAATAGTTGAACCTTTTTTAGAAATATGCTCTTTCTGAGAATGAGATGTTCAGATGGATATCAACCTCATGTGTGTTAAGTGCAGAGTTGGATGAATGTGTCCACAGGCATGTGTATGGCCACCACCATCACAACTGTCCTATTTCTGGTGCTACCGTGTCTGAAATGATAAATTATAATGGCAAAAAAGACATTGGCTTTTTGGCCTAAACAGAGATAAGCAACCAAAAGAGCCATTTTGAGTTCTATGAGTCAGATTTCCTGGTATGCATACTGGTAAGCCAGCAGCGTTGGAAAGCAAACAAATCTATTAATATCTATTAATTTATCTATTTTCCTCCAAGACTTTTAATTCAATTCAATTCAATTTTATTTGTATAGCGCCAATTCATAACAGAAGTTATCTCAGGACACTTTTCAAATAGAGTAGGTCTAGACCAAACTCTTTAAAACATTTATTTTATTGTTGTGGATGTGTATAGCTAGCCTAGCGACCACTATTGTGTTTGGCAAAATATAGAGGAAAAGGTGCCAGTCAGGGCGTAACATATAAAGCACATTTTAGTTAATCAAATGTTTATATTTATATTGTAGCCATAAATGTTTAATGTACATATACATGTCATGGTTTTGGATTTAGCTCTGTTATTTCCTGTTTTATTTTGTAAATATGTCTTTCACTTCCTGTCTTTGTCTGTTGTCCCTCCAGTTTTGATTGTCCCATCCTGATTTTTTTCACCTGTCTCCCGTTATCCTTCCCCTCACCTGTGTCTTTGTGTTCCCTTGTTTCTGTGTCAGTTCATCTGGGTTGTTTTTGTCTATGTTACTTTGTTCCTGGCTGTGTTTTCCCTGTGTTGCTGTATTGGATTTTTGACTCTTGCTTTGGATCAGTATATCTTTACCTACCTGTCTACCTGTGTGCCTACGTACCTGTACCTGCACCTGCCAGTAATTTAGTCACCCTGCTTCCTGTGCTGTCTTTCATTTGGGTCCAATCCTGAGTAGAGCTTTGATTCTCTGTCGGAACCCGAAGCTTCCAGAGTTTCCAGTATTGTGACAGTAGGCCTATACATATTCATGTATATCAATGTATCATATTACATAAATAAACAAGATAAACATGTATATTTCCATAAGAAGAACATATGTAAGCATACTGAATTTTATTATTATTAAAGTAATATATTCAGATAATGTGTAATATATTGTCTATGACACTCATTCAATCACTCTTGATATTCAATTCAATTCAATTTTATTTGTATAGCACCAATTCATAACAGAAGTTATCTCAGGACACTTTTCAAATAGAGCAGGTCTAGACCGAACTCTTTATAACATTTACAGAGACCCAACAGTACCACCATGAGCAAGCACTTGGCGACGGGGGGCAAGGAAAAACGGCCTGTTAAAAGGCAGAAACCTCAGACAGACCCTTCGGCTCTAGGTGGGTGGTCGTCTGTAGAGTTGTGACCTTCACAAACGAACCAAATCTATTGAACGG